TCTGCACGGTTTTGCCATCTGGTTCCAGGTGACCTTCCCTGGAGGGGACTCGGAGAAACCTCTGGTGCTGTCCACCTCGCCTTTTCACCCGGCCACGCACTGGAAGCAGGCGCTCCTCTACCTGAATGAGCCGGTGCCGGTGGAACAAGACACGGACATTTCTGGAGAGATCACTCTGCTGCCCTCCCGGGACAACCCCCGACGTCTGCGCGTCCTCTTGCGCTACAAAGTGGGGGACCAGGAGGAAAAGACCAAAGACTTTGCCATGGAGGACTGAGCCTTGCCTTTTCTCCCACCCACCTTCTTCGGAAGGTCCGAAGAGGAAGGGAGAGTGACTTCAGTCTTCATTTGAGGACATTCTTCTGGCAATGTTTATTTAAAAAGTGAGCCTCCCTGACCAAGGACTGGTGCAGTGTGCTTATTAATGTGCTTTTAAGTCTGGAAAGCATGTAGTGTCAAACTTGTATTTCTGTTTCTTTGGTTTCACTTTGGGGGGCGGGTGGGGGAAAAAATATGAGTTTATAAATTGGCCGAGCACCAATCTGACACCTCCTCCCTTATCTCAATATGAAACTGGGAAGAAGAGCAAAATGGCTCGATTAGATTTCAGAAATTTCAAATCATTTTTAGAGTGTTTTGGTTTTGTTTTGGGTCTCTGAATTCTCTCAAGTCCTAGGTGGCTGTAGGATGAGGTACCTTGTGTTCTAGTTAAAACTCATCTGGTTAGTGAGGAACTGGAGCACTCGTGAAGTACTTTAATTAGCCCTCTTCTCATTACTCTTAATCCGTGGGGTGCTAAGTTTGATGCTCACAATAATCTTAGTAAAATGACTAATTGTACAGCCCGTCTAGGCAACTCTTAAAGGAGAAGAAATTTGGAAGTGAAATAATATGGGTTTGAATATCCTTATTTTTACTTTTAAGACTGAGCCAAGAAAATTTCATATATGTTTTATAAAAAATATTTTATGATTCTCGTAAAGCCGACTGACAAAGATTGCTGAACACAACCCAAGAGTGTATGTATTCTTTACCTCATGTGCGTTATCTAAACTCATTTGGAAGGAACATAAGTGTCCTACTTACAAGCTCCTTTCTTCAGTTCTTTTTAGTTCAGCCAAACGGGAACATTGTGAATTTGGGGAAACCACTCTTAATGAAGTGTGAGTCATGTTATCAAATTTATTTCACTGACGTTTTTTCCCTCATTTCTGTGGCAAATAAAATGGCATTCTCACTTTTTATAGTTGAGGTCTTAAGACGTTTTGTGTACCATCTATGAGTTTATTATAATGCTGTACCCAAGTCTTAATAGTGTCAGTTCTTAAGTGTTACAGCTCCTGCAGAACACAGCTGGAAGACAATTCAAATTATGATTAGCACGGTTTTTAATTCTTTTGGAAAGTTTAACAGAAAGCAGTTCTGAAAACTGGTGATCTTGAGTACTCTTGAATTTTAGTTTCTGTAATCTTACTCTGTTTTTGGCTTTTTTATTCATTGCACATTAAATTGCTAAAATATCAAAGCTAATTTTCTGAGCTCTGTTTTGAAGAGAAATATACAAATATAAAGCCTTCTGTGTTTCAAAACAGTCAAGCACTCCAGTAAAATCTTAAAATTTTTATGTCAAATACTTAACATCTTTTAAAAATGCTTGGTCTGGAAATTTAAAAGCTAGTTCCTTTGGGATCATCTACGTCTTTAATCAAGCCTTCACCTGGAGTGATTGCTGATGCTTTTGATTGACCTTTCGTATTTGAATGTGTTCTGTGGACTCCCTCTTTTCGGCATATTTTGTAAATACAAGTACTGTATTGGGGGGTGGGGGGGAGAAAAAAGGACAAGAAGGAAAATCCAGTTAAAATTTGGGAGGGTGTGAAAAGAGATTAGATTTTTCTGACTGAACAAAGTAAGTTTCCAAATTCTAGTTATATTTTCTCGAAAGAAAGACAAATTAGACAAATGGGGGTGCTGAAGCAGGCACTAAAGGTGAGAAGCAGGGTGTAGTGCTTAAGGCCTAGAGCCAAAAAATCCAAACATACTTGTGTACCTTCAAGCATACTAGCACATCCCCCCACCCCACCCCCACACACACACAATTTTTTTTTTTTTTTTTTTTTTTTGGTTTTTTTGAGACAGAGTTTCTCTGTATAGTTTTGGAGCCTATCCTGGTACTCGTTCTGGAGATCAGGCTGGCCTTGAACTCACAGAGATCCACCTGCCTCTGCCTCCCAAGTACTGGGATTAAAGGCGGTGCGCCACCAACGCCTAGCCACACTTTTTTTCTTTTCGAATCCCTCATGCAAACTGGAGATAATAATAGTACCTACTCCACAGACAATTGGGGATATGAGTAATTAATATAGGTAACCCAGAAGTAAGCTTTCGGTGCCATGGTGCTGAATTTGTGTAAAAGGCAACCCTAGAGCTGTCTGAGGCTACATACAAAATGTGCTACAGAATAAATACTCACTTTGTTTTTCTTTTTCTTTTACAGGCACCTTTTGACATTATCAACATGACTATACAAGAAGAGCAGCATATGCCACTGAGTACCACAGGATCCAAAGAGTGCCGCAGCCTTTGGAATGAGCACACTTGGGAGGGATGAAAGCTAGAGGCGTGTGGACACCCAGGCACTGTCTGATATGTTATGTGGATTGGGACTGGTAACGTGGAGCCCTCAAGGTTCCAGGCCTAGATTACCAGACCCAAGAGAGAGCATTATGGTAAAGTTCACCTACCTCCCTCACAGCTTACATTCATTTAACACTGTGGAAACTCCTATTTTTTCCCATTTATTGAGCCAATGAGCGTAGTTAAAACTACAATCTAATAGTCATTGTGATAGGTATTTGGGACTACAAACTAAAAGAATCTGAACTCTGCCCTCTAATACATAACTGCCACTAGAGAAACTAAAAGCCATGATGATAGGATGGGCTGGTTTTAGTGTCAGAAAGTATATATTTATTATTTTACACATTAAGTAAAAAGGTTTCTATAGAAATTGATTTGCATATATATATATACATATATATATATATATATCTTATATGTATAAATACTTTATTGTTTTGTGAGATGGAATCACAAGTAGTGCATCACTGTCCTGCAACTCACAATGTAACTGACAATGACTTTGGACTCTTGATGTTCCTGGCTCCACCTTCCAGATGCTGGAGTTAACAGCCCTGTACCACTGTGCCCAGCACACACCTAATTCTTCAAAGTTAGATCTTAAGCACAGCTCTTTGACTTCCTTAGCCTGAACAACAATTCACTGTCATTGATCCTTCGTATTTCAGTAGAGAACAGAACACTACAGACCACCATAATGGTAACAAAGGTTTAATTATTTGATGATAAAGGAAAAGTTTAGTGCTAGAAAGACTCAACAGATGAGTCTAGACCTTCCTGGATCGTCTGCAGGGTACAACTCCTTGAGTTTGAAATAGTAGCCACTCACTGGGACAACCCCTATTTTTATTTCCCTAACAGTTAATCAAAGGTAACACTCTGGGGTCCTCAGGAAACTGAATCCATGACAGTAGCAAAGGCAAGTGAACTCCTTGTCACGTTGGCTGAGGGGCAGCTGATAGCTCTCAAGGAGATACAGAAAATGGAATAAGGAGTTGGGGAAGGTAGACATCAAAGTTGCCTGCTGCAAACAGCTGCCAGCCCTGCTGTTATCCCCACAGTTTACACCACCCAGTACCTAGGATAGATGGTACCTAGGGAGCATTTGCAAACACAGGCCACATGCCCCCCATATGGTCATCTATGTATGTTTCTCCATTAATTTTATTAACAACAACTACATAGTGTTTAAGCACTATAATAAGTACATCCTCCTCTGAAACATCTAGAATACAATGGGAACAATAAAATGACATCAGTCATTCTTGTCCGTCCATAAGCCTGGAAACCCTTTCCAGTTCTTAGCTCTGCTGAGCCAACTTGGAAAGGCAGTTCTCATCCTTTAAGCCTCTCCAAGGATTGAAAAATCCTCTTCCTACCAATAGGTAGATTGTGAACACTATAACACAGAGGGTATAGTAAATGATTAGCTCTTCCTTGGCTACTAAAACAAATAAAATTCTAAGACAAATCTATATCCAGTTCTCTCTCTCTCTCTCTCTCTCTCTCTCTCTCTCTCTCTCTGTGTGTGTGTGTGTGTTATCGTGTGTGTATGTCTGTTTCTGTGTGCATGTGTGTCTGTCTTTGTGAGCATGTATGTCTGTTTCTGTGTGTTTCTCTGTATGTGTCTATTTCTTTTTTTTTTTCTTTTTCTTTTTCTTTTTTTTTTTTTTTTTTTTCCGGTTTTTCGAGACAGGGTTTCTCTGTATAGTTTTGGAGCCTATCCTGGTACTCGCCCTGGAGACCAGGCTGGCCTTGAACTCACAGAGATCTGCCTGTGAGGATTAAAGGCGTGCACCACCAACGCCCGGTGTGTCTATTTCTCTGTGTGTATATGTGTGTGGGTCTTTGTGTGTGTGTCTGTGTCTGTTTCTGTGTATCTTCCACAGCTTTCTACATGATTTCATTCGCATGCTCCCATTTGTGGTTTATCCTTTCAATTGTAATAAATATTACATGTTTTGTTGGAATTTATGTAACCTGGTCTATTCTTTGAGGTTTTTAAATACTTTTGGAGGACTGCAGTCACTGGTTGGATACTTAACTAGCTAGCCCAGGCAAGCTCCTGAATTTGATGCCCAGCACTACAGAAAACAGTCTGCAGTAAGTGGAGAAGTTCTGAAGATGAAAAGGTTTCAGATAAAGGAACAGCAGAGTAAGCATGACACCTTTGTTTCCAATAAAATGGGAAATTACCCGAGGTTTTCCATTTGGATCTGTAGCTGGTTTGGTACCATCCTTCTGGCCAGTTTTACAGATGTTGACACTTTTAAAGAATCAAATCTTTGAAAGATGTGAAAAATGCTCAGCTGTTTTTCCTCAGCCTAGATCAGACCTGATAAATCTTCTACATCAAACTAAGGAGGGGTACAGATTTCTAAACATTTTCCAAAATGCACCAAAAATAGTTTAATGAGAAGAAAGGGTGTGGGATATTTAGACTACATCTTAAAATATATGTATCTGTGGGAAAAGCTATTGGGATGATTTAATTTAATTCAACACTAAAAGGATTTTATATCAGCATATGACCAGTAACATAATTGTAACTTTTGGAACCTTTTATAATTAAATTGCTCATCATAAACACTGTAGGGGACCCGGAATCTGCTTTGCAGAAGACCCAGAATCAATTCGTTTTGCGCACATTTTGTTTCACAACAGTCTGTTCCAGTTCCAGGAGATCCACAACAATAGGATAAAAAACAAGAGATGTTAAAACCTATTGAACTTGGTCACTGAGTATATTAATAAAACCACAAATCAAAAAAAAAAAGTTTAAAAGAGAAGTTCCTCACAAACACTGAAGTAAATGTAAGCAAATGGAGCTTGCTAGGAAGGCCTGAGGAAGACTTCAAGAACAAAATGCACAAGGATGGGGGAGGGGCTAATACGACAAAGTTCCAAGATGAGAATGTGGCCAAAGAGACCCAATGGAAAGAATCTGTGGATCTAGAATGTGGTGACTTCCTATAAGGCTTGATATATTCAGCTGCAAGGGTACCTTTGATCAGTGGCTGTCACCTCTTAACATCAAATTATTAAAGATGGTAATTGTGGTTTGAAAAAAAAATGCCCACAAAGGGAGTGGCACTATTAAGAAGTATAGATTTTCTGGAGTTGGTGTCGTGTTGTTGGAGGAAGTGTGTGGCTGTGGAGGGAGGCTTTGAGGTCTCATATACACTTAAGCCACACCCAGTGAGACAGTTCACTTGCCTTTCAATCAAGATGTAGAATTCTTCAGCACCATGTCCACCTGCACACTGCCATACTCCCAGCCTCCATGCTCCCCACTGTGATGATAATGAAGTAAACCTCTGAAACTGTAAGCTACCACCTCAATTAAATATTTTCCTTTATAAGAGTTGCCATGGTCATGGTGTCTCTTTACAGCAAGAGAAGCCTAAGACAGGGATGATCACACCCGAATCAAACAACTCCCACATTATCTGCTGATGTTTCTAATGAATGACCAATGAATTTTAGTGTATTTATTTTTACATAAGCATACATTGTACCAAAATAGTCTGGATTTTTGTCAATTTTCAGAAATTAAAGTAGCTTGAAATTATATTGGGTTTCTGGAGCTTTTCAAGGCCAAGTGTCTTGAAGGGAAGAAGAGTGGAAAGCCAGCTACAGGTGTCTATAACTTCATACATTTCCTTGTGAATGCATATACTTCATTGTTTTCCAGAAAAGTGAACAAGGAAGGAGGTGTACAATTTCTGAATGATGTAGCACAGAAGAAAATAGTTGAATATAGGTACCTGAATTCAGGAGGCAGTTAGATAGATGAGGTCCGTGACAATGACAATTTTCCGGTGACATAAAATCATCTTGGAGCCAGAGAAACTTAAAGTTAAGGGTAGTATCCTCACTACACACCTTCCCCTCAGACACCGTTACCTTAGGTTTTTTTCTGAAAATATCTGGCAAGGCATTATCTTTTTTTTTTCTTTGAGATAAGATTTCATTGCACTATGTAGTCCAAGCTGGCCTCATTTTAGCTTATTTTCTAGGACTGTTTGAGGACCCCTGTATAGCAGAATACTCAGTCTTCTCTTGTCAATGAAATCTTTCGAGTTCCATGTGCAAATTAATAATGAGGTATGCAGACTAGCGTAATTACTAAACTTTAATTTAAAATACAAGATTTATCACAGATTACATTCATGGCAATTATATGTAATATTGGCATAGTAATTATATAACTATATGAACAAGTTATAGATACTTTTACTTCAAGATTTTTACACACGTTAATGGAGAAAGGTTTCAGATCAACAAATGGTTAAAAAACTTTATTCTATATATGCATTAACATTAAAAATGTTATAAAAACACCAAGCTGCCTATTTTAATGGGAAGTTTTTAGTCTACCACAAAGTCTATCTTTTAGTAAAAGATAGAATTTTAAAATGAGGATTTAGGAAATCCTAAGATTAAACACACAGTCCATGACTAATTGAGAATTTTCTCTCGTCAGAATAATTAGAAGAAAACAAGGAGAGAATGACAGCAATTAGAACAAAGGGATTTGAATACAAGATGGAATTAGAAATCACCAGGATATGTGTTGTTTATAATAGAATTAAATTATCAGCTATCTTTCCTTGGATCTTCAGCCAAGGTGATTTTATAGTCCAGGCATTCTGATAAATTAAGGTCATACATAAATTCATTCCATGATATAGGGTTCAAGAAAAACATGGCACACCTGTCAACTGATCAATCCTTATACAGATAAAAATGGCTGAATTCTGCTAAACAAAGTAAAATTAGCCGCATAAATATATGATACCCCATCCATCCCTGTAATCAGTATTTTTAAGATGTTAAAGTGACATTATTCAGAGATAATATATGTGCTATCATTGTTAGTGGGACACCATTTTTTAAGCTTTGATTTTCACTATTTTAAACCAAATCTTGGCTGTGTTAAATTGTATTATATATTTAATTTTTGACATTTTTGGATGCATGTGTGGTATGCATGTGTGCATATATGCATGTTCACATTTCTATTCATGTATTTGTAGAGGGTCCCAAACTGATGTTAACATCTTCTTCAATAACTCTCCATTTTATGTTCTTTAGGCGGAAGTCTCTCACTGAACCCTAAACTAGCACTTCAAACTGTTCTAGCTAGCCAGCTTGCTCCAAAGATCCCTCATCTCCCTTACACAAAGTTGTCATACCTTCCCAGCTTTTACATGGGATCCGGGCATACAAACGCAGGTCCTCATACTTGTACAACATTATCCACTGAAAAATTTTATTCACTGAACCATCTTCCCAGAATCTCATAAGAGGTAAAGTAAAAACTATAAAAAAAATTACAATAAAAAATGAATAAGCCTCCATTCTATACAATTCAGAATTTACCTGCTAATGTATATGTGTGTTTGTGTGTATGTGTGTGTGTCATATATATATATATATATATATATATATATATATATATGTATAGTGTTTCAGGTAAAGGTATTTATACTAAATATTATAGACATAAATACATACAGATTATTAGGAAAGCAATATGGCAATTGATAATATGCATATTCAACTAAGTTTCTATCAGTAGATAATATTTGCAATCCTTGCTACTACCAGTTACAATTATCTTCCTCTTTCAGTCTTTTCCTAGAGAATCTTATGGAGTCCCATAACTAATTTTTGGGTTTTTGTTTTGTTTTGTTTTGTTTTGAACCTAGCTCTCACTATGTGGCTCTGGCTAGCCTGGAAATATGTAGGGCAGGATAACACTGAACTCACAGAGATCCACCTGCCTCTGCCTCCACAAATGCTGAGATTGAAGTCATGCATCACCAAACCCAACTTTGTCTATAATTTATTAGAGTACCATTTAAGTGTTGATGACTCCCAAGTTTATATTATAATCTTGACATTTGTACTATGAAAACAAGATGTCAATTGTCATCATCATTTGACTATAATAGGGATTTCAGCCTTGACATAAAGAAACTATGTATATGGAGTATAATTGTGTATATCATATCAGTATAAATCTGTACATGTACTTATATATAAAATGCTACCATATACATGATAGCTCTAGACTGTTTATTTCTGAATTTTATAAAACCGTGTGCTACCATATTCTCCAACTTCAAATTTATTTACCACCTCATCACTTCTCTGTTTCAAGTAGCAACAACTACTGTCTCCTGAAATGAGTTCATTTCTATACTTTGGCATTGACTCCCTTCAAACAGAGAGAACACAGTCCTCTTTTGTATTCAAGAAATTAGTTAGTGGTCACATGCTGTTGTTAACTCATTCAGTAGTTAGGGTTACTAATGCTGCGAAGAGACACCATGACCTAGTCAACTCATAAAAAATATTTAATTAGGGGCTTGCTTAAAGAATACGAGGATTAGTCCATCATCATTATGGCAGGAAGCTTGGCAGCCAGCAGGCAGGCAGGTAGGTAGAGATAGACAGACAGGGTATG